GGTTTTTTCAAAATTCCAATTTTTTGAATTTTTTTAAAAAAAATTTTTTCTTATAATTATTTTTTTCTCATCGTTATGCCACTAAATGACATTTTAACTGTTCAGAATATCAAAATTATGCGATTTACCAAACTCAATTAAGATAAAAATAAAAAAAAAAATTTTTGAGAAAATTTTTTTTTTTTTTTTTAACAAATTTCAAAAATTTGTATTTTTGAAAAAACAAAAAACACAGTTCCAAAAATTTCAGGATCTCTTAAGATTGGTACAAGGTAGTATATAAAAAAATTTGAGCAAAAAATTTATTGTCGACCGTCATTTTTGACGATTTTCAAAAATTCAAAATCTGACAAATTTGGTATTTTTCAAAATTTTTTGCCAAAATATTTTTTTTTCTATACCTCCAAGTGTCCCCTTTCAAACAAACGAAAGATCATTCCTGTATCTATACTAGCGTTCGAGATATTACAAAAACAAAATTGAAAAACTGGAAAAATCGCGAAATTTTGAGTTTGCACATCTTTTGAAAAAAATTTTTTTATTTTTTTTCCTTTGGCAGAACTCCGTTATATGATAAAAGAAAACTTCTGACCAAAATTCGTCCAAATCGAAAGGGGTAGATTCCAACTATTGGTCGATTTGACATGGAATGACCCTTTTATTTCCGATATTTTTGAGTTCAAAGCCTATAAAAATTAATATTTGATTGTGTAAAGCTCTTCAATCTAATAGATACATATTTCTACACCAAGATAAAAAAATCTTGATTTAAAATAATATATTCACGGCTGAAAAAGTGTTCGAGTTCTGGACAGAAAACTAAAATTTATTAGATCATGTGATGCCTAATTTTCACAATTGAGGAAAAATTTTTTCGATTAATCAAACTATTATTATTTCTCGTTCAATAAAAAAGTTGAACAAAATGACTTTCTTGATTCAAGTAATTTTTTTTTGTGTAGTTCTAGTTTGAACACTTAGAACTAGAAAATATAAAATTCTATCTATTTTTGAGCTCGAAAAAATTAATAACTTACGGAAGGTTATATTATTCAGAAAAATAACCGTACTCAGTTTTTCGGCATTCTTGTTTCATTCTACAACCTTTAAATATATCAAACAACTGAAATACAAAAATAGACAATGTTTTAATTTTTTGTGATAAAAATACTTTTTCAATAAATCAAGCGATTCGAACAAGGCTTTTAGAATTCAAAACAGTAATTCCTAAACTCAAAAAATAATTGACTTATATAAATCGTTGACGGAAACCATTTAAACACACAACCATAATCTGATGTAAAGTTGATTTTCAAAGATTAGTTTGAAAATAATGTTCCACAATTATAACAGAAGTTGATAATAACTATTATTTGACTGCGCAAAATTGACAAAAACTACAATTGTTCATTCAAGCATTTGTTTTGATTTTTTTCTAGTAATGGCAACGGCAGGCTTAGAAGTAAGAGAAGCAGGTCGAGCTCTGAGGGTACAAGCAGAAACTCCTCATCTGGTTTCAATGGGAAGTGGAAGATTATCGACAGCAATTACACTTCATCCATTACCCGAAGGTAGATATTTATTGTGAAAAGTCTAAAAAAGAATTATCGAAGCAGATCGATGACCCGTAAACTCATAATTTTATTAATCACTGGTCGAATAGATGTTGATAAACTTAAAAAAAAATATAATTCAAAAAAGAAACTGTTTTTTAAATAAATCTGGAACCGGTATGTCCATCAATTCCAAATTTTAATCCATTTTATATCTTCCGAAACTCCAAAGAAACTGCAAACTGCATATCAAATCAGATGATTCATTCGAGAAATATCGTTTTCAAAAATGTATTTTCGGAAATAATGCTTAAAGTCTATACTGAGCAAAACTGTTTTGAGTACCATAAGCCCGATTTCGATTGATAAAAATGTTAAAATCTAATGAATACTTGATTACAAAAAATTGAGATAAAAAGAATAATTTTTTGAATTGAAAAAAATTATCAACAGTCTTGGCAGCAAAATTAAAAAAGATTGTTTTATTTCTTCGTCACATTGTTTTTTTATAATCCTTTCGAAGTAATTACTCCATGAATACCATTTTTCAAGAAGTTTTTTGAGCTGAGAATATTAAATGCATAATACACAACTAGATCAAAAATTCAACAGTGTTTCTGTTCTATTTAATATGTATACATATATTATGAATTAGTGAAGAATTGAAAAAATCACAACTTTAAAAAATTTCTATTTATGTTGTTAATCTGATGAATAAACGATGGAATTTTTCCAGCTTTTGATCAGATAAGGTTTTATAATTAATTAATAATGCTAGTACTGTTTGGAAACAATCGTTTACATTTTATATCTGACCACACATACTTTGATCCGATAGCATATGATTCATATACATGAGTCATAAAACTGAAATTTCTAAATTTTATAACGGATATTTGAGCACAATGTACATTTCAAGCTAATATAATTACATTTCAAGCTATATAATTCTAATAGTGATTGTCTGTTTTTAATGTTTTTTGTGAGATGTGTTTTTGTGGATCATTATGATCGTATTGTATTTCTCAATAAATATTTCATACATAAAATACTTTTTAAAAAATCGAATGTTTGTTTTGAATAGTGCTTTTTATTGTATTGAAAATGATTTCAAACGGTCACTTTGTTATGTGAAAATCTCGGAGAAATGCAATGAAAGTTATAAAGCTGTTTAGAAAAATCAAAATTAATCGCAAAAAAGATTACGAAAGTTAATTATTGTCAAGTTTGTGGTAATTCTTTAGTGTCTAAAAGTTAGAAGGAAGTGGAACAAAATGTGCATTTTTAAAATATCAAATAACAAAATGTATTTATTAGGGTAGATTAAAAAAATCGGTTTTTTTTATTCTTAACTTCCCGTACAAAAATGGATTGATCAATTATTGATCAATAATTGATCAATCCATTTTTGTACGGGAAGTTAAGAATAAAAAAAACCGATTTTTTTAATCTACCCTAATAAATACATTTTGTTATTTGATATTTTAAAAATGCACATTTTGTTCCACTTCCTTCTAACTTTTAGACACTAAAGAATTACCACAAACTTGACAATAATTAACTTTCGTAATCTTTTTTGCGATTAATTTTGATTTTTCTAAACAGCTTTATAACTTTCATTGCATTTCTCCGAGATTTTCACATAACAAAGTGACCGTTTGAAATCATTTTCAATACAATAAAAAGCACTATTCAAAACAAACATTCGATTTTTTAAAAAGTATTTTATGTATGAAATATTTATTGAGAAATACAATACGATCATAATGATCCACAAAAACACATCTCACAAAAAACATTAAAAACAGACAATCACTATTAGAATTATATAGCTTGAAATGTAATTATATTAGCTTGAAATGTACATTGTGCTCAAATATCCGTTATAAAATTTAGAAATTTCAGTTTTATGACTCATGTATATGAATCATATGCTATCGGATCAAAGTATGTGTGGTCAGATATAAAATGTAAACGATTGTTTCCAAACAGTACTAGCATTATTAATTAATTATAAAACCTTATCTGATCAAAAGCTGGAAAAATTCCATCGTTTATTCATCAGATTAACAACATAAATAGAAATTTTTTAAAGTTGTGATTTTTTCAATTCTTCACTAAATTGATCACTCAGTGATCATTCATTGATCACTCAGTGATCATTCATTGATCACTCAGTGATCATTCATTGATCACTCAGTGATCATTCATTGATCACTCAGTGATCATTCATTGATCACTCAGTGATCATTCATTGATCACTCAGTGATCATTCATTGATCACTCAGTGATCATTCATTGATCACTCAGTGATCATTCATTGATCACTCAGTGATCATTCATTGATCACTCAGTGATCATTCATTGATCACTCAGTGATCATTCATTGATCACTCAGTGATCATTCATTGATCACTCAGTGATCATTCATTGATCACTCAGTGATCATTCATTGATCACTCAGTGATCATTCATTGATCACTCAGTGATCATTCATTGATCACTCAGTGATCATTCATTGATCACTCAGTGATCATTCATTGATCACTCAGTGATCATTCATTGATCACTCAGTGATCATTCATTGATCACTCAGTGATCATTCATTGATCACTCAGTGATCATTCATTGATCACTCAGTGATCATTCATTGATCACTCAGTGATCATTCATTGATCACTCAGTGATCATTCATTGATCACTCAGTGATCATTCATTGATCAATGAGTGTTCATCAATTGATCATTCAGCGTTAATAAATTGATCGCTGAGTGATCTCAAAGTGATCAATCGCTGATTTCAGTGATTAATAAGACACCTGCCAGTAATCAATGATCGATCAGCTCGTAATAAATAATTGATCATTCAGTGATTATTAACTGATCACTCAGTGATCATTAACTGATCACTGAGAGTTCATTAATTGATGACTGAGTGATTATTAATTGATCATTAGATAATTTTTAACCGATCACGTGCTAATTCTGCTGCTTGTCTTCCAACCCAAAGCGGTTGAGATAGTGCGTTAGTTTTAGCACGTCAAAGTCAGGTTATTTTGTAATTTTAATTTTAATTTTATTTCTAGATGGTGATTTAATGATTAATCATAGTAGAATTTAATTTGTAATTAGCTAGAGAGCTTGATTGCCAATCATCAAGCCATTATTATGTTACGACTGAAAATTTATCAATAAAGGTCGCAAAAACAATTTTCTGAAATTTTTCCGTATTGTCTCCATAGAGTGATCAATTAGTGATCTCTGAATGATCTCTCGTTGATCTATGGTAGACTCATGATTGATCAGTTAGTGATCAATGATTGATCAGCTCGAGATCAATCATTGATCACTTAGTGATCTCGTAGTGATCAATTATTGATCAATAATTGATCAATCTATTTTTCTACGGGTTCTGATGCCATAAAATTGATTGCTACTAGATACTTCAAGGAATATCTCAAAGTATTAACTATTAATATTAATAGAAATATTCTCTATACCTCAAGTTTTCACTTTTATTTTCAATTAATAATAAGAATTCCACATCTCGCTAATAATAATACGCCCAGTGAATTTTGTTATACTTATTCTTGTAAGAAATTATACGCTTTACAAAAAAGACTTTTCGAACTTTTTTTATCAATTTAATCATTTAAAATGATGTAGGAGGTCAAAGTTTGATAAGATTGAAAAAAAAATTTTCTTGCTTTTTTATTTATTAACTTTTTAATTAGTAAGCGCGGTTTATTACATCAAAAATTTTGTGTGCATGCACACCTCGGGACTTTTACTCTTTTCTTTAGTGTAGTTTCTACAATGCCCGGAAAATCAGATGGATTAAATCTTAAATCACCCAACATTAAATAAAGTTATCGAAATTATTTTTTATCGTCTGTATGGACCAAGAATTTTTATTTAAGTAATACGACAATAAAATTATGCGTAAAATTTAATATAAAATAGCTTTTACGTAATGCATAAACGTTGATTGACCTAATGCTATTATTTTATTTATATTGATAAAAACACTTGGCGATGATGTTAAAAACCTATGCAATACTTATATGTTGACATCACTCGCCTTTGGCTCGTGACGTCACAGCCCACTCAAGCTATATTCATTTAGTAGCATTAATATACAATATTCTAAAATTAATTCTCACTTAAAATTAATGACTAGCTATTAATATTTTAATAAGGATGTGATATGACAAAATAAAATTTAGAAATCAATAAAAAACATCTGTATTTTAGTTTTTGTTAACTATTAATACTTATCAACTAGTTGTAATACGTTTCACCACCAATTTACGGCAAGAGTTGCCGCAAATTAATGAAACATATTATTATAGATATTATTAAATAAAACATTTAAATGTAAACGTTTATTTTCAGTTTACAACTATAAATTCTTGTATACTTTTTTTATCTAATCCGAGTTCGTTAAAGTTAATAATGCTTAATAAAAGTTTTTATTACAAAGCTTTTATAAGCATACACGATCTCAAGCATGATATTTCTAACGCACATTCTTGATTCTAAATGTATTTCTTAAAAAATTCTGATTTAATTCTGGATTAACCATTACTAAACATAATTTACCGAGAATTTGTGGGAAGTTTCACGAAGTACGCTTTCAGTAAAATACAATAGATCAGTAATCATTTTTTTAATTTTTCAAAAATTAAAAATTTATGAAAAATCATTATTATTTTGGCAATTTTTGTTTTTCGGTAATTAGAAGAAAAATTAAAAATCGGTAATTAGAAAAAAAAAATTGATAATTTTTCTGTGAAATGTGTAATTAGAAAAAAAAATAATCATACTTTTTCAAAGAAAATTAGCAATTAATGGCGATATTATAAACGAAAATATTATTTTTGCCGAATACTAAGATAAGTTTTCAAAACATGAATTTTCAATTAAACAATCATTATGTGAGCTCATTAACTATTAAACTGTTTACATATAATATTCAAATACCATCTTTATAATTTCCAATTTTTAAGTTTAAACAAACAATTATTACAAAGATTAAAAACATACAAATCATATTTTTTTTTAATTTGATCTATTTTTAGGACAAATCATTGTAGGATCTGAACGGAATGCTGACATTCCTATAACAGGGACAGGTGTTGAATCTATCCACTGCACAATTGAAAATAATAACGGTATTGTTATTCTTCATCCTGTAAGCGGAGATACACTAGTTGATGGTGTAATCGTAAGCTCACCTATTAAACTTACTCAAGGTAAATTTAGTATAAATATTGTAGTAATTATCAGAAGTTATTTTAATAATATAAAAAAATCTACTATTAAGATAACAAATAAATAATGTATTCTTGACATTTCTTAAAGTTTTTTATGTAATTAAAATAAAGATTTATTCATTAAATAAATGAGTTCATCAATTAATTTTACATGAGTGTTGATACATAAATTTTTATCATTGTTATCGATAATTGTTTTACATAGTTATTAGCTGAACATTATTTAATCTGACAGATTTGAACATCAGGTTTAATTGTTATTTTATCTTTTTTTTTTTTTGTAATATTATGTATAGACAAAACCTTAATGTTTATGTAGTAATGTATAAATAAAAAAAAATTTTTTTTATCCATAATTCTATGAATAATTGATGTTTATAAAAACAAATAAAAGTTCTAAATAATACTCAATGTTAAATTTTGAAGACGAAATATGAGAAATAAAAAGTAATTGACAGTCAACGATATTGCTTCGTTTTATCTTATCAAAGTTTCTCTAATTTATTCATCAGTATTTTGTCTACATCTAGATATCATAATTCACAATTAATTTAAGAGCAACTCTACTATATAAATCTGAGTATTCTCTTTACAATTGAAAAAATTGTATCTCAATTATAGAAATGGAGTAAATCAATTAGTCACAACAGAACAAAGATAGAAAAACTTTACAGATTAGTACATATATAATAAAATGCTGTAATGGCTTAATTTTTTCAGTCATCAAAACTTTAAATAATTCTCATTCTTAATAAAAATAGTTTTATCTCAGTAATCCTCCAAAAATCTCATTAATTTATTTTAAATCAAAATTTTTATGAATAGTAATCACAAAATATTATATTTTGCATCTGATAATTTTTTTTTTTTTTTTTTTTTTTTTTTTTTTCAGGTTGTATACTATCGATAGGAAGATCAAATTATATGCGCTTTAATAATCCCGCAGAAGCAAAACAATTGAAATCAGCTTTACCGAGTCCAAGACTATCGATAATGCCCAATAATTTCTGCGTACTATCGGAAAACTCATTTGAACATCTGGAACGTAAACCACCAGTAGGACCAAAGAAATCTTTCCGTACTACATGTCTCGATGATGAGATAGGTTTTCAAGGGAAATTAACTAAATTTGAAATGCTTGCAAGACAAAGTAGAAACTGTGTATCACCTAAAGTCTTTCCTGCAGGTTCGTTAACGACAAATGTTCCTGCAGTTCAGATTCTTGGGCATTCCAGAACGACAAATTTAATTTCTCTCGGTAAAAATGAAACTTCTCCACTCCGAAATCTCACTAATCTCGATAAAAATCGATCAAGTACACCAACTTACAGTAATTCTAACAACAATCTTAATTATATTGATGATCAACAACAAAAGATAGACAGCAAATCTTCCAGTCGTTCAAATACTCCTTACTCTGACTATGGTGTTCCAATATCTAATCATAATCAAATTCAAATGTATACTACAACTGAGGCTTTTCTCAAACACTATAAACCTCAATATAACGAGAATAATAATGAAACACAAAACTCCCTAGCACATTCAAAATCGTTTAAACATGAAAATAATTATGATCTGATGTCTAGAAGTTTAGTGTGTCAAGTATCTCCTGACTTGGATAAATACGGCCGTAAATTCGATATGAGTCAGAGCCTGATCATAGCTAAAACTACAATGACAGAATATTTCCAAGTAGACCAATTGAGATCAAATCCCAATTTATGTGATCGTCTTTCGATTCATGGATCCCATTCATCTGTTAACAATATAAGAGGCAATTTAAATTTTGGCTCAAGTCCTAATATTAAAAGAATTCAAGCACCTAGCCCATCATTTAATCGCAATCCGAAGTATAAAGATAATAAAATACTTAACGAAAGGATGGTAAGTCCAACACTTAGTATAAGCAGCAATTGCTCACTTCAAGAACTCAGAGAGAGACAGATAGACGCTGAAATAAAACAGAAAGAAGCGGAGGATAAAATAAAAGTAGTTCAAGAAGAAAGATTACGAGAGCAAGAAATTGAAAAACAAGAGAAAATAAGGCTTGAAGAAATATTAACTTTGTGTGCAGAGTATGATAAGCAAAATACATCAGATAAACCAAAACAGCCCAATAGGTATTAAATTTTATTTGATCTAACTAAAAGAAAAAAAAAATAAGTTCGAATCATCGATCCTGGTTTCCGCTTTAAAGGTTTAAAATTTTATATTCAGGGATAGATGATCGAATATATATCAAGTTTTTCATGCATTGTCTTTCTGAATAAATTTTATCTTTTGTTTCTTGCAGGATTAAAACTAATGGATCGTTACCAAGAGATAAGAGACCAGGTCAAAGTTCACCATTTCATAGCTCTCAAAACTCTCCAAGCAGCCAATCTTATTTTTCTTTTGACTCTTCAGACCAAAATTCATTGCTTAAAACTATTCAGCTTAATGGGTCATCATCTTATAATAAACATCAAGTAACGCCATTATCAGATGAACTAGTTTACCAACATAATAATAATAATCATCAACAAATAACGTGGCAAAATAATATTATGCAACTAGAATCCAGCTTATCACCTGTATCACAAACAAAACCACCAAGTAATAACGAAAATAATGAGACTGACAACAACACAAATATTGACTCTACGTATGGTATAATACCATTTGATGGAGCACAAATGAATAATAACACCTTACCGGTCAATTCTGAAAATATTAATCATTATGAAAATGTAGTGCGTATGTCACAGCAAAATAATAATCCAATTTATGCAACAATAAAAAAAAATGGAAATTTAACGAATTCATGTGGAATTATTGAAAATAAACTTGCAATATCGAATGATGATCTTCTAGAAGCTATTGAACAGCTTTCTATGTTATCAAAATCCAAAGAAGCTTATATTAAACCAAAGAAAAATAACATTGAAAAAAATAATACGAAATCAAATGAATTAAAAGCTGATAAAGAAAGAAACGAACTAGAAGATGAGGATAAGAGAAAATATATTGCATTTTTACAAAATGAAAAACTTCATATTCTTAGCAATATGGATACACTTAAACGGAGTATCGCTGATATCGAAACACAAGAAGAAGAAATTAGCCGTGAGGTAATTTTTTTTTCTTATTAAAACTGCTTTATGCAATTTTATTATTAATGTTTTTTTATTTTAATCCAAAAAGTTGATTATAACTTATTAATAAATTTTTTTGTATATAATTTTTAATTAAAAAAAAAAAAAGTTCAATACTTGATAATTGTAAAATTAATCAAGCCATTTTTACACTGGAATAAAATTATTCTTGAAAAAAGAGTCAATTTTTCTTACTAAAAAAGTCAATTTTTTTTCTTGAATATAAAAAAGAAACAGTTAGACTGTCATTAGTAGTCTATGAAATCATACTCATTAATAGTGTAAAAAATCTTAGACTTACGGTTCGAAGGTTAAAATTGATTGTAAAGAATAGAAGGTCAACTTTTAAGAAAAAATTTATTCAAAACAGTCAAAACGGAGCGATTTAATAACTTTGTAATTATTGATTTAAAGTCCAATTTTTTGTTCTTTCAACTTATATTATACTCTTAATAAGTTTTTCGTTAAAGTCGTTTTAAAATGATTCTAAAAATAAGTTAAGTAATACAATAATTTTAATAATAATCTATTCTAGCTTGAACTCGAAAAAGCATTGCTATCAGCTGAGTATGAATCGGAATCATTGAAGTTAACGTCTGATGAGACTGAAAAAATAAGCATTCAAATAAGAATCAATAAACTTGAACAAGAAATGGCGGAAGATACATCAATACAAGCAAATCTTCAAGCCGAAGCTAAATTTCGAGTTGAAAAAGTACAGCAGTTGTGTATACAATTGGGAAATGAATTGAAAAATTGTTCTAATGAAAGTAAACAGCAATTAATAACAGAAAAGTTACATGTACAACAAAATGCACTTGAAACAGAAAAAAAGACATTCGAAGATCTTGAATTTCAACATCTGGAAGAAGAAGCCAGCAAGTTAGCAACCAGAGAAGAATTGCAGAAGTAAGATTTTTATTGAATATTTTATTTAATTTACTTATAAATGTAATATTAATGTTTAAAATAAATTTCTAATAGGTGCCTAAGTGAACTGTCTCATAAAATTGAAGCGCGAAAGATGCAGCTCAATCATTTGGAATCACAGCGAAATGATGCTAAAACGTCAGCAATGAAGGAATCAAAAAGCCTTGAGCGTCAAAAGGTTGGACTTATGAGGAGACTGGAAGAAGTAATGATTTTTTATTATTTATCACAGTAGTAAGAAGCGCCAGTTGGCTGTAACAAAGTATATAGCTATACGTGAATCGAATTTTTTGTTAGATCTATTAGAGAAATTTTAAATTCTTGCAAATGCTTTTAGAAAGATTAGTGCATCTGTAAAGTACTTTTATTGTTTTTTTAATTGAGAAAGGTGCTTCTTCTTCCTCACAAAACAGACCAAGAATTTAAACTTTCAATATATTTATTACTATTTATATAAACTATTTTCTGTATACTAAAAAATTCTCACTTAACACGAAATCATAAATTTCATTTAAAAACTTTGATTAGCAAGAGAACACTGTAAACTGGGTTCCATGACAATTAATCTGTCTCTTATTTATAAAAATATTTTACAAATAATTTTCTAACATATTGGCCGATTATTTTTCCATACAATTGACCGATGTTTATTACGATTTTTCATTACATTCTTAATATTATTTTTTCAGAGTCGCAACAGATTACGTGCTATAGACGATGAATTGCAAAACCTAACTAAAAATTCAATAGAAAATGGAACAGAAAATTCTGAAGAAAAGCGATCTCCAAGTAGAGAAGATTTTGATAGAATTTCGAAAGTTACACATAGCTCACCAATTGTTAATAGTCAGGGAAGTTTAGGTAGAAAAACAATAGAATCGCTCAAAGAAATTGAAAGAAATCGACAACTACACCTTGCTAAGCAAGGAAGTCAAGTTATCTCAGAAGAGCGCCGAAGAGTTGAGGAGTTAAAAAGAAGAGTTCAAGATGAAGTGCGATCACAATGGGAAGAGAGAAAATTAAATTGTGCTTCTTTTAATAGTGTTGAATCAGGTGAAGAATCGTCTAATTATTCAACTGGTCCTACTGAAAGGTAAATACGAATTTTTTATTTCTTAAAATAAATAAGGAATTCTCAGCATAAAAATTGTTATTATGAGAATCGAATATAATCGATAAGTAAAAAAATTGTGAGAACTTAAATATTAACTGATCAAAAAATCTGAAAGTTATTTCTAAAAAATATTTCTTTCACAATTTTTCGTTCACGATATCTCTAAAACAAATGAGTATTATTACATAATTTAAAATAATTTAAATTAAGTACTTCTGCGAGATATATATTGTGCTATTGTTTACTTTCCTACTCGTTTGTGTATATATCGATTTTTTACAAAGATGCTAATATTTATTTAATAACGAAAAAAAAAAAAAATTCGTAATTTTCTCAATTTTCTCTCAAGCTATCTGTACAATAAATGCAGATTTCAATTACAATAATTTAATGTTTGCTTCATTCAATCGACTTGAAATTTTAGCTATGCAAAAGTAATATTTTTATAACAATACCAAAATTTTAATGATAAAAACTATCAAATTTTTTCGTTGGTATAGCAGATCGATTTGTTATTAATTTCAAAACATTTCTAAATCATAATACATGATGAGTAACTTTTCATAGAATTTGCTCAGTGGGGGGTTATCATATCTGGTACGATAAAATTTTACTTGGTATAATGTGTTAACAGTCGTATCAAACATTAAAAATCAAGATAAAACCTTAAACGCTAGTTTAATAGGTATGCATGTAATATATCAACATAGATATATTACATACGTATAATAAATATTTTTACATAATAAATAGTTATTAGTTATTATTATAATATGAATCTTATTATTATTTATCTAAAAACTCATTATTTATTTACAAATCGTACAAATCGTCATTAAATACAATAAAGATTTAGGAATTCGGTGAATCAGAGCGCGAAGAAAATATGTGAAGATGAACGCGAGGGAAATGGGCGCGGCTATAGTTGATGAAACGCGTGTACTAGGATGTAATTTAATTACAATAATTACTAGCAATAAATTCTATATGGTTAGTAGAGACTGGTTCGTTAAAAATTGTTATCACCCAACCCAAAATTACATATTACAATACCATAAACAATGGTTGTAAGTTATTTCAATTTAGTTAACAAAAAATAAAATAATATATATTTTTTCATTTTATGATTATTTCTAGTCAATTAAAGTGTTTATTAATATTTCAGTGGAAGCAGAAGTAGCGATGGTGCAGATATTGGTATTAACGAAAAGCTGTCACCATGTAAACTTGAAGAATTCAATTCTTCAAGCCCTGGAACGTCAAATACTTCTTGTCCACTTTTAAAAAGTGATACCGTAAGTTTACATTTTTTTTTATGTTATAAATTCTTCAAGTTATATATAAAAATTCTAAGGGGGCATTCTAGTCTAGACACAGTAAATTTCGGGCATTTTTTTTAGTTCGATAAAAAAATAAAATAAAAAAAAAGTTTTGCTATACATTTTTTTATCAAAATAATTTATTGAAACTTTTAGAATATGCAAAAAATTATCAGTGATGGAGATAAGGGAGGATTTATTGCGTGAATTTTTCTAAAATAAGATATCAATTACGAGTATAATAATAAATAGTGTCAATCAACAATATTATTTTAAAAAATATGTCTAGCGTCTAATAAAGAATAAGTATTGATTGAAACTCTTTCACATAAATGATTTTGTACCGTTTGACCCTCCGTTAGGGGATTATTTGAAAGAAAAAACTATGAAAATGGTGGGGAATACTATAGTGGTCCACTGGGGAGGGGGTCGAATACAAACATAAATGATGTAAGAGGCATACAATTTTATTGAATCAATGTTTTAAATCATTTACTGTTCAGCTTACAGAGAAGTGCAGTTTGAATTTTGCGTAAACATTAATATTAATTAAAAAAAAAATCTAGATTTTAAAATAAAAAATAATTTAATCGGTTTGTAAATAACTTGACTATAAAATCTTGTGTAAAGTTTTTGTAAATCGACAACAGTTTCCAAACAAAACACAATAAAAGCCAAGCAACTTGCCTATAGATTTTAAAAAACAAGTTTATTCGAAATTGTATGTGTGTATAACTTACAACTTTTGTGATTAAAAGTCGATATGTGTCGTAAGTGAAGGTATTTTTCATAAGCAAATACTAAGAGAGGGGAATATGTGCTTGGATAGTAAATAATAATTGTAAACTGGTAGCAGTGAAATACAGTTACTACTACACTGCCTTCAGTACAACATGACGTACTTTATTATCATACACAAAAAAGTGATTACTCTTTCATGATATTCGTTAGCTATAATAAAATGTCGTCAAGTTTATAGTCACAATTAAAACTCATAGTTTATTCACAATATTTATCAAGTAAAACTAAAATAATAATATTGTTGAATTTTTTAAAATATTAATATAAATTTTAAGACACTATGTCCTTAATGTGGATGAATTTTTTAAAATCGTCGTACAGAAAAAAACACCTGAGAAAGAAAAACGTAAGTATTTAGTAGAAAAAAGAAATTAGTTTTTTTTTTCTCATAAATTATCTTACTCTTAAAAGTCGTTTCATAAAACTATATTGAAGAATTTATATTTGATCAATTAATACATTAATTTTTTTTTTTATATACAAATTTATGAGTATTCATTATATAAGAAATATCGTTCGAGTTTTCTATAAAAATTTGTTGAGTTATCGTGTTTTTTAATAAGCTTATCCAAAAATTAGTTTTATAAGATTTTTCAAAAATAACTCAATTCTTAAACATTTTTAAAATTGTCAAAAATTGAACTTTTTTTTTGTTTTAAATTCTTATTGTCAATAATTTATCATTTTTCAAGATGAAAATTATGTATATTTTGAAATTCCACTTGATTAGTTTTTGGAATTGATCGGTAAAGCCGTTTAAAAGTTATTCCAAAAAAACCTCAATAAAAAAAAAATTTTTTTTGAGATTTTTCAAAATCTACCTTTTCGAATCAGTCCAAATTGCATTCAAAATCTAAGTTTGGTTAAAACCTTTCGAATGGCACCAATAACCGCGATGAAATCGGTCGAGCCGTTCAAAAGTTATGAGAGGTTTACATACGGCCACACACACACACACACACACACACACACACACACACACACACATACATACAGACAGACATACATACGGATATCACCGCGGAAACATTCGGGGAGACTTCCTAGGACTTCAAAACGTCAACATTCGTTGAAAACCCGATTTTCGAAAAACGGGGTAAAACCAATAACTTCCCGATTTTTGAAAATTTTCTATTTTCTTAGCGGGAAGTTAAAAATAAACTTTTGAGCCAAGAAACTTATTTTAATGTTAAAGAATTTGATTTTTTTTTAATTGAGCAAAAAAATTCTTGAGTTAACTAAATGTTACTTAGATCAAAAATAATTTCTAGTTCAAGAATTTTTCTTGCTTGATTAAAGATATTCCAATTTTTCAAAAAGATTCTCTTGGTTCAAGATTATTTTTTCAATTAAGTAAATTTTTTAATTGACATTTCATTTATCTATACTACTTTTGAAGTTAGAAAACTACAAACAGCTTATATAAATCAAAAAGTTAACTTAAAATTTTCATAATATATATAACTTTTTATGTAGCAAATACAAAAATAGTAACATAACGAGAAAAAGCATTTAAAAAAAAAAAAATTTTATTTTGACGATTACGAAAATTTTTTCAAATCTTATATTCTATTCTATTCTATAAGAATATAAGCGAACTTATATTCTTTTATAGCAGCCTCGAAAAAAATAGTCAGTTTTTAATGCCACCCTAATATACATTATTAGAAAAAAATAAGGAAGCAGAAAAACTTCTATTAATACTTCGTTAATAAAAACCGTATACGGTACATCAAAAGACAAAATAAGGCATTTTGAATTCAAAATTACGATTACTGGGTACGGAATGCTTTTTGACTAAGAATAATTTTTTGACATCGTTTTTCGTACTGCAGAGACTTTAAATTATATTAAATTGTTCATAATTTTCGATTCAATCATTTTTTCCAGATAAAAGATGGTAAAAGAACTTCTTCAATCGAAGGAGAGCGAGTTAGTACCAGTAGCATAGGAATTACTGATGGAGACAGAAGTCGTCCACTTTCACAATCCTCCAGTGAAGTAGAAAGTATTGGATCGTTGCAAACTGTTAAGCATCGTGATAAGACTAAACTTCAGGTATTGATAAAAAGTAGCAGTAGAACAAAAACAACATTTTTTTTACAATATTAATTCTTTGGCTGTCCCATCTGAAAATAAAGTAACTGCAAAATCTTAAATTTTTTTCCCAATATCATTGCTTTATTTATTATTTTAAAATCACACTCTGATTTTTATTTTCTCAAAATATTTTTATCAATGCATATTTTGTTCATAAATCGAATTTTTTATCAATCTAGAAAGTGAATTTTTTTTCGCGAGGTAAATTTGAAATGTCAGTTACTATGCTTTGAAATCGGATAACTGTGTTGTATGGAGAAATTATTGTTTGTGATTGTGAGTTCGCAGAAATAAAAATATTTACCACTGCGCTAACAAAGGTCTATGTTGAGATACTAAATTTTGCTGACGTTTGTAGAAATGAAATAATACTATACTATTTAATTCTGATTAGTGGATTTTTTATAACATTTAAAAGAATCTAAATTTTTATGTCCATCAATAGACAGTATTAATGTAAAAATAATATAAAAAATTGTGTTAGTCGTTTTTCTGTACGAAATTACCTGCAAATTGACCTAAATTTTCTAACTATGAATAAAAATATGCAACTCTTTTAAGGTTTGCTTTATTGAAGAATTGTATTTACTTTAAGACTTTTCCATGTCAACCAAAAAATGTTATTAATTTTAAAAAAGTACTTATTAGAAATAATAAGTTACGTAAGACATATATTGTCTATGAACTAATTACAAAAATATAGTTTTTCAATTTTTTCTCACTGAAAATATTTGTAAACTCTTGAACGAAATAGCCTTGAAATTAAGACATTTTCTCATTACGATAATTTTTTTTAATATAAAATAGCTCAGTATTAGAGGATGCGCAAGTAAACCGATAATTTAAATTAAAAATTATAAATTCAGATATTTTCACGATATCAGAAATTAGTACGGAAAAATTTGAATTTTCTCAATAACATAACTGAAATTATATAAAGTATTATATATTATAATAAAGTTTAAAAGTGGTATATACATATAGAGAATTAATTTGTAAAAAAAAAAAACATACGCTTTATATTTTTCCTGTTATAACAGCTGTACAAAAATTATTTAACGCGTAAAAAAATTTTGTGATCAAATTTTATGCCAAAAATAGCCTTATAAAATTTTTTTAAGTTTTCTTAAATTTTGTAAAAATCAAATTAACTAAAAGCTTATTAAATTTTTATATCGAAAATAATTTTATAAAATTATTAGATTCAACTTTTTTTATGTATGTCTTTTTAATAATTTGTAGATAATTACTAATCATATCCCCCCACTAGTAATTGCAGTGAGTAACGTCTCGTTACAAAAATATACATGACGCAAAAATATACGTAATTGCAGTACTGAAGCACTTATAAATCAATAAAAAAATTTTTTTTCTTATATCTTCTAGTGTACATTTGAAATAATGAATATACTGAAAGGAATTTGCATCGATGAATACAGCTGTAGAGTCTATTTTATATTACAGAAGTAAACACTATATTGCTGTATCTTTTATTTTCTCGATTGCTATCAGTAAAATTATGATTCTCATATAAAGTTGTTACAAAACTGACCTGAAAAAAATATTTATATGAATGCATTAGAAAAGTTAGATTTCTAAATAAAATTATTTTTTCAGCGTCCATTGACACGGTATCTTCCTATAAAATCAGAATCATTAGATTTGAGACACCACATAGAAACAGCAGGTCACCAGCTGTCTCTTATAAGCGATGTTATTATTGATACAACAACTTGCAGTGGCTACCTATCAAAGATGAGCAAAAAATTTCATCATTGGAACAAACGTTGGTTTATATTTGATCGGAAAAGAAAAACTTTATCTTACTACAGTGATAACTCATCAAAAAAAACTCGTGGACTAATATATTTTCAGGTATGTAGAAAATAATTTTTTTTTTATAGAAATTTTTCTCAAGATTAATAATCAATATTTTTTTATTTTTTCAGTCGATTGAAGAAGTATATGTTGATCATATGAATACTGTTCGATCGCCTCAACCATCGCTTACTTTCATTATTAAAACATCAACAAGAACTTATCATTTGATGGCGCCAAGTTCAGAAGCGATGAGAGTTTGGGTGGATGTTGTATTTACTGGAGCTGAAGGATATCATGAATTTGATCATCAAGTTTAACTGATAATTTAATTCTTGATACTTCTCGGAGGATCTTATCTAATAAGAACATTACAAAGCCTATTCGTGCCTAAATACTTTTCCGCCATAATTTAATAAAATAAAAAAGACGATTGAAGAAATTCAGTGAATTTAATGAGTTCGATTCGTCGACAGTAAAGCACTATTTCAAACGATTCACGTTATGAGATGTGCAGTTATACAGATATAATTATAGTTGAATATGATAAGTTTTATTAAACTTAATGAATACTTGAATTATATCAAGGAAAAAATAAAAGACTAGGTAATTCATGTTCCCAATCTCGGAAAGTTCTCTATATTTAAAGAGATTAATCAGAATTTATAAATTAATATACAACTTATTGCTGTAATCAATATTAGTTTTTTTTTTCAACATTCAAAATTTTGATTTTATTATAATAAATAATGTTCAATCTAGTCTTCCAAGTTCGTAGTAATTTACAATTCGTAAGTTATCAACTTATATAAATAATATATTTTTAAGATAATGGTGAATATTATAAAATTTTTGACTGAATAGTATGTTTTTCAGACTTAAAATTAATGTTTTATGTATTACTTAATTTAACAGCTTTTAATATTTTATAAAATGAATTTTAAAATCTAGAATAAATATTTTATATGTGTGTATTTTTTTGAAAAATTTACCAATTGACTTCTTGTATTCAGTTATTACATTTAATGATTATTAAATGATCAATAAACATTGTTGAAATTTTTTTCGTAAAAAAATCGTTTTCTTTAAAACACATCAATGTGAAAGTTATCAAATTCGGCTTACAAAGTCTGACCTATCGCAAACCAGTGGAGTATCACAGCACAAGTCGATTTCTTTTAATTTTTATCACAAATGTCATTTTATTGAAAATCACGCTATAAAAAATTTATACAAAACAGTATAAACAATGTTTTATTTTATATTTTCACAAGATAAAAAAAATAAACTTATTCACGTTTATCAAAGCTAGTGTTAATTTATGAGTATTGTGAGAGTTTGAAAAATCTCACCATAGAATTTAAGAATAAAAAAAAAAGTTTAGTCTGAGGTTTTATTGCGAACGTATGGCTTTGATCGAGCATCAACTAAAAATCGATGTTTCTCGATTTTCTCGTATTAAATTGTATCTTAAATACTTACAATGAATTAAAAGAAACAGACATAATTACGGCAATAAATTAAAATTACTCTTAAATTAATGGATTATTCTTTTATAGAAAAAAAGTAGTTTTAATAGTTTACGGTGTAGATTTTGTAAATTTTTGCTGGAGGCGTAAACGTTATAACTTTTAAAAAATAAATTTTACAACTTTATTATTTTTTAACTTTTATATTATCTTAGTAATATCTATGAGCTATAATATTTCTATCTTTACGATAAAATTTTTTTACCTAATTTAAACACCAAGATTTACTAAAAATTTTCAAAGGAAACAATAATTGTTCTGATGGCAAAATGTTATATTTATTCACTCGGACACTAAAAGTTACAAACCATAACTAATTACATACAATTCATATCATTTTAGTAGGAACATATTTAATTTTTTAGTAAAAATGAGGTATAAAAGTATTGAAGTGATTGAAATTGAGCATCAAAAGCATTAATAAGTATTTCCAAGTTTTCGTTGTCAAGAAACTCAATAATCTCTAATATAATTTCATAAGGCAAAGGTATTGCTTCAGTCAGTTGTGCAATTTCTTTAACTTTTTTCAAAAGTTCAATCCTTATTTGACCTTTTTCAATTCTCAGAGCGAGCATAACTAAAAACTCTCCATTTCGTATGCCATAGGACTTCATTTTTTCATAAACATCTTTGAAGGCATTAATGAAGTTTTCATTTCTCACCAATCGTAATAAAGTTTTGTTATTGAAAACTTTCACAGCCAGATCATAAAGTGTCATACTTTGGTTTCCAAATGTAATTATTGTTTTCTTCAAAGTTCCATGGATAAAATATATTACGTGATTACATACAACGTTTCTGATTTCACAATTTTCAACCATTAATCTTTTCAATAATTTTTTTTCTTTTTTGAGTACGGGTAAACCAAATTGATAATTTGTACGTGCTACAGAACAAAACAGCTCAATTTTTTTGCAACTATATTTAGCACTACATCCCTTTTTATAGTCGCAAAAAATTGTGTTTAGTAGTTTTTCTGGTGCAAGTGGCAGTAAAGTTTGAACTGGCTCTAATGAATTATCGACCAACTTCCAACCCCAATCTTTTAGGTCTAACTGATAACCAAAACCACACTTAAACTTGGTAATATTCCCGAAAAAGATGTTGATGAGCAGCCGCTGAGCTGATTTTTAATGAAACATGCATATCGAAACTTATCCAAGCACGTAATTTTTTTAGAAGCTCCATACATAGAGAGAAAAAAAGCGAATTCCGTTGGTGATATAACTTCTTGTAGAGTTGAATTACTCTTTTTAAAAACTTCAGCACATTGAACTAAATCTTGTTTTTCAAACATTTTAAAAACAGTTGTTTTACCCACCCTGAAAAATGCAGATGTATCACAACCAGTTATTGCATGTAAAAAATAGTGCATGATTTTGACACTTTGCAAAAGTAGATAAACTTTTTGATGAATTTATTACCGATTGATGTTGAGCTTTCCCAGATTAAAAAAAAAACACTTCTTTCGATTGGAGTTCGAGCAGTGAGAGTAATACAAGTAAGTCTATATCTTCACCTACAATAATAATTGTATTTGTTAAATTGAATTACTCTATTCCCGGGGAAAACGGTTTAGATCTGACCAGATATAATTATATCTGGTCAGATCTAATTATATCTGGTCAGATCTATTTATATCTGATCAGACATAGGATTGGAGACATAATCAGATCTAGTTATATCTGATCAGATCTAAACAGATATAACTATATCCGAGTGGAAAAATACATCAGACATAATCAGATATAATCATATCTGATCAAATCTAAACAGATATATCTTATCAGATCTAAACAGATATAACTATATCTGAGTTGATAAATACATTAGAGATGATCAGATCTAGTCATATCTGATCGGGTCTAAACAGATATAACTATATCTGGGTTGAAAATAAAATCAGACATAAAAAGAATTTATTATATCTGGGCAGATATAACTATATTTGTTAACTATTATTAAATACTTATAAACTATTTTACTAAATATACTTTCCTCTCAAATAAATATTTATTGAATGTTAAGAAATATTTATTAGAATTTAATAAATTAAATAATTGTTTTCGAATAAATTAATTTGTTAATAGTTAATAAATCTTCCCATCGGCGTATATTGATAATTAATAATCTGCAATAAATTTGATAAAAAACTTTGTTTATTACGCATCGATCATGGACACGATTCACATTACTTGTACCCGGGAAAAACAGATTAGATCTGGCCATATATAAACAGATCTGGCCAAATCTGCTAAGGCTATTAACTATAGTTATTACAAACTCTACCTACTCTCGTTTCAAGCAAGTCTCGTTGGTAAACAGGTAATGAATTAGTCTCTCATTCAATCACAGGTTTTTGCGCGAACTTTTCCTGTATTCAAGTAAATTACTACTGCCTTTGCTATAACACTGCATTCAAGTTTTAAATAAAACATTAGATACTAAGATTAAAAAACTTAATGTAAAATAAAATATTAAATTAAGCTTTATTCTTAAGCAGGAGCTACTTAAAATAAAATATCTGTAAGTGCAACATTGTAAATTTTTGTACATCTATTGTTATATTTAATAAATAAAAAAAAAAAATTAGTCTCTCAAGCGTCAGGTCCCAGGTTCGGTTCCCGTGCGCGCCGATTTTTTTTTTTTTTATGAAAATAATTCTATATAATTGTATATAATTATATATAGCTATTTTTCGTATATAATTATGTATGAGTATATATAATTATATATAATCATTTTTACCTGGGCAATTTTTAAATTTGACCAGATCTGGTCAGATCTGATTATATCTGGCCAGATCTCGTCAGATAGAGACAATTTAAAGATCTGGCCAGATCTGCCTTAGCAGATCTGGCCAGATCTAATCCGTTTTTCCCGGGTTGCTGTTTCAATTATTACTACATCAGCATCATTATTAGCTTTTTTCACCAATATATTTTTAGCAGTAAACTTTTCTTTCAACATTAAAATGAACCGAGATTTGTTGTGAATATTATATATATTCACAAGAAATTTCTGTTGACTGGTAGAAAATGTCATAGATTGATCAAATAAAATTTCAGAAGATGAAGCTGTTGCTGAAATTCTACGACATTGTTCTGCGGCTTTAATATTTCTCGTAAAGTCATTGTAGCCATCATATACGACAGTAACTCTGGGACCAAAATGTCGACGTACATACTGAACGTATTTATCCAAGATAACGCTGAATGTTTCTTTTTTACTCGACATTCTCATATTTTATGTGTAAGTTACACTGACCGATATAGCGATATTTTTACTTGTATTACAGCTTCAGTGATATATATACGTGGTGTATTTATGCATTTTATAACGATTACAACTCTTTCAACTTTTTGAATCGTTATATCTCAAAAACGGTGGTCATATTTCATTTATAATAGTGTATTGAACAACTCTACCAATTTTCAGCCAAGTGGGAATTTTTAGAACCTCATCCCTATTTTTTTGGTCTAATTTGACCGGACTAATAAGTAATCATTTGTCAATTAAAAATCAGTGTTAACAAAATCTTTATTTTTTTAAGTACTTTCTTAAAAAGCTTACATATTCGATTATCACTTGAACTAGAATAGACTTTAGGAAATATCTTTCTGTTATTCATTGGAATTATCGAATAAAATTTTAAATATTCTGATAAACTTATTTATCAAATATCGCAGCTTTTTTAAAATTTTTTAAATTATATCAAAACACCTTGATCTGAATGAAAAAAAATTCTTCATAACGAAAAATGGAATGAACAATATAATTTTAAAAAATTTTTAGGAAAAAGCGAGATATCAAAAACACTAAGTTTCTTAACCGCTGGGTCAACTGTCCGTTAGTTTTTTTTTTTTTTTTTTTTTTCAAGTATTATTATTTTAAGTACCCTCATCTAATCCTCCCAACTATATTAATTATTACTCATTTAAGATTTAGTAACATATTACATGTGACATACAATTACATACTAGTATGATTCATTACAGACGAAAGTGACTACTTTTAAAGCAAAGTATCAATTTAGACATAGAAAAAAAAATTCTCGCCAAAAATTTGCCTTTTATTTTAATATTGAGTAAGTTCAATGATGCATCAATTTATTTCAATAGTTCAAGAATATGAAGGGAAGAATTTCTAACGTGTACCAAAAAACTTTATTCGCCTATAAAATAATCGTTACTTTCTGTATATATATTTTGAATAAATTTAGTTCTAATATAAAATGTAGTCACTAAATAAAATGTATTAACTAGTTTTTTATCACTTTTTAGTGAGATCTCGGAAAAAGATGAGGTACAACAAAAAATTTTCTGGTAGTGTTAATGACTCTCTTACTGTAGTTTTTTTTATATATATACCATTATTATCTATCACTAATATATGATTGTTCAGTTAGATTTAACTGAATTTGATGGTTAATGTAAGTATCTAGATGATAAAATTTACGATCGCAAAAATCGTTAATGGTACCATAAAAAATAAGGTCATCGAATGTTAGCTTAAATATAATTCATACTTATAAACTTTAACTTCACATAAATTATTGGGAGTATTTATTAGTAATATGGCATACGAAACTTATTTCAGCTAATTAAAATTTATTTTAGTTTAAAAACTCCGTATTCGGATATTTTTCAGATTGACATCCGTACACTGAAAAATAAAATTCTTGATTGGAGTGTAAATTTTCTTGGCTCAAGAAAATATTAAGAAAAATTGAAAATTTCTTGAATGAAGTTAAAGTTTCTTGAGCTAAGAAAATTTCTTTTTGCTCTAAAATAACTTTTGTCTTCCTTAAAATTTTCTTGGTGCAAGAAATATTTTTTTCTGTGTATTTACTCCCAACTTTTGGCAGCGTAATTACATTTATAAATTTATCTGATGTCGTTTATCTCGAAAAACGAATTAATAAGGCCGGTGTATTCATATTTTTAAATATTTTCCTGAATTGATCTATTTTTTTCTAATCCCATAAAAAATAGCGGTTGATATGCCTATCAATGGTGATCATGGTCGTTAAATGAACATAGTAGTTTATTGATTGTGAATCACGGTTTACTAAACCAGTACTTTATTCCAATATTATATACACGACCTCATTGTAAAGTGAGAGGACACTAATATATAAATAAGAAGCTAAAAAAAGAAAAAAACAAAAGTTTTAATAGTCGCATCCCTGACTAAGTGTTGAAGGACTACGAGAGCCCCTCTCAAGAAAGAAGACGGTAATTTCTGGTGAATGACATCATCTCCAGGTTTGACTGGATATCCGAGGCCACGTGTCTTGCTCACGAAAATTCAATACACGAGCTCCTACATCGATAAGTCGTTGGGCGGGGAATTCACCAGCTTAACAGTGACTCTCTAAGCTGGTATTCAGTTTAACTTCGACTGTCAAACAGTGGAGAACATTTGAAGTACTTGTGAGATCTCGTGTTTAAAAACAGATTTTTAAATAAATATTCATTTATAGTAAAACATACTTTCCAAAAAAGTAACAAATATGGCAAACAATAGAGCAGCTAAGTCTGGATTTGCCGCAGAAGCACAAAGAAAGGTTAATAGTTAATAAAATATCTTACTTTATTCTATAAGCTTGTATTATTTTAGTGTTTTAATTAAAATTTTCGCCAACAATTATTACTTTAAGACTCATTTAAATGAGTACATAATCTTATCTCTCAATTATCATGACCTAAAATCTTTACTAAATTTATTCTGACTATCTCATTTACGTTTAAAACGTAATGATGCTAAATAATATTTGTATATTTTTATTGTAAGATAAGTGTTTTATTTTATTGAGTTAAAATTTATCAAGATAAGAAAATTGTTTTAAAAATCATTATTAAATCGTATAGTAAGGAATGCCGAGTATTGATATACTCATTGTAATTGTGATATATAATAAAATTACACAGTTATACTAACAAGAAACTAAAAAAATGTAACAGAGAAACAATCGCATGACAGCTGTATGTAAACTGTTGGTCAGAGAGAATTAACAAATTTTTATTTCAGTTCCCCAAAACATATAACGTTCTGTTGCTGGTTAACTGTACCATGTATTTCGTTATAAATTCCTTGAATTTTATACAAAATGTTATAGAACAACATAAGGGTTATCAGTTATCAGACCATAAAATAAATTCTTTTACGAAGATCAAAAAAATATATTTAAAGTTATCTAACATCACACTTTTTTAATTGAAAAATGTTTTTATGCGTGATACAAAATAGATTTATACGAAACGATGATTTCATGCATTTTTAGGAGGTTTTCAGAACATAATTTGGTATTGAGAAATTATGTTTGCATACAAGTTTTTAATTCTAAAAATCTTGAATTGTTTACTTAATATTACAATTTTATAATCTGTACATATAAATATGCTAGGTTTGTTTTGTCGTAGGTATGTCTCACTTATTCTCAGAAATGAAACGATACTTTATCACTTGTGGCTTATCATCAAGAAACGCTAAGTTCCTTTTTTCGTTCTGAATAATAGTGAACGATTTTGATATTTTTATTACAAAAATGGGTATTCAAATAAAATAAAGAATTCAAACTGTTATCTGAGTAATTCAGGAAACCGTTGGTAGTAAACACCGCAACATTCTTTTATGTTTGATATACAATAATATTTATCATGGTTTAGCTTCATAAATTTACGCAAAATATTCACTTTTAAATAACAAACTTATTAAATACGAAGAATATGTGTAAAAAATGTCGAAATCGTAGATGGAATTTTATTATTTTTTCGTTTTTGTTTTTGATGAGTCACTTAAAATTGACCATACTTCATTTAATTTTATTTATGAAACTGTCGTAATACATATATTTATAAATGTATTACTCATTTATGTCATTCACTTTTATTGAACAACTTAATTGTAAATAATTGATACTCGATAGTTTAAAAAAATGCGATAATGGTTTGAAAAATATATCAATACGTAATAATACTTTTAATAGCATCGTCTTATCATACCAATGGAGATAATTCTCTTTTATAACAATTCATTTTGTTTTTTATAGTTTTAGAAATCTGAAGAATAAAAATTATTTGATGGACTTTTTAATCATAGACATTAGTAAAAAATTTTCCGTCATTACGCCAAAATACCTTTGGGTAGAAAATTTTATTTCAAGTATTTATTATCTTTGTGTATCGGATTAACGCGATTTTATCAAATTAACACACCAATATTCAAAAGAGAAATTTTAACACATACTTTTTCCTCGCAATAATGGAAGATTTTTTAAGTATAAATATTGATTTTTTTGGGATTTATGAAAATGAAATAATAAAGAAATTTGCTAGAGAAAAAAAAAATAAATTAATACGCAAAATAATTATTGCAGTTGGCTTAATTGGATCCAGACATTTTTATAAACAACAATATGATAAATCAAATTTATTTACAATCTGCCGGCTCAATTATCAACTGAATGCATTTTTTATTATTTGTGAAGTAAACACGTTATACAGAAATGTGTTAAAGGTTTTAAACACGAATGATGGAAACTTATAGTTACATACAGACACTATAAAAAGTTTTTTGAAGAGTTACAGATAATTTTTTTACATACTTATTACGTTATTTATGATTGATTGATTTATAACATATGTTAGCTTTAAATTAATCGCACGTGTGATTGGAACAATTTTTCTGTTTATTTTAAAATAAATTATAAATAGATAAAAAAATCATATTCCAGTTTTGGTAGAGCATTGTCAAAAACATTTATACTTGAATGATTTATCATTAAAAAAATACATATTCCAACATAGTCTGTTTGCAAACGATGACCTTGAAAAGCTGCTTCGATACAAGACAGTATCTATCACTCTATAGTTTGGGTGTATAAAGTACACGTTTTTAAATATTATTATCGATTCAGCTAGATTAAATATACCTAATTAATATAATTCTCCTTGGGTGTGGTGTGAATTTGTTTAAAGATGCGGCAATGTCAGTTTGTAATCCAAAAGAAATAAATACATCATATATTCGTATACTCGCCTTATATGGAGAAAAAATGAAGGCCGTTTTTACTGCCAATCGTTTTCAAGCTATAGTCAGAATCATGACTTGCGATGGATGTCCTTGACTTGTGAAAAATTCTCAACAAACACACCATTTTTACGAAGTGGGTCAACAATTTTATTTGTAAATGATTAAATAAACTGCTATTAATTGGGGCATCATAAGATACGTCAATGTTTTATTCCTAATAAAGTCTACAATTCAATGTTAATATTGAAATCAGAGTATTTAATGGTTCAATTAAATCCCAACAGCTCCAATTACACCATTACTTTTCTAACTTCCCATTATTAAAATCAATGACTTCCAAAAATTGGGAAGTTATTGGCTTCATCCCGATTTTCATTGTCGAAAAAATTCTACAAAAGTATTTTTTGTTACATCATTTTTGAAGTAGAATAGTATCTTTTTTTGCGGAAAAAAAAGAAAAAAAAAAAAAAACGGCATCGTATGCCGTGAGCCGCTTGAGAATCGGTTGATGATTCGTTTGGGAGATATTACAATTCAAATTTTTGAAAAACAGCTTTTTTTTAAGACGTCTCTTCGAGCTCGAAAATACAGGAAAAATGTATTTTCGAACTCAAAGAGCTCCAAACTGTAGTAGGAAATTTTTTGAGTGTTTTTAACTCGAATTTGGGAAGTTTCAGAGATGCCTTGCAGGGTCAACCCTTTTTCAGATTTTTTTTTTTTTTACAAACTTAGTATAATAGTTCAGTAATTCAATAATTAACTGTCGTATTTCTTCTTTTAACTTTCTTCCTTTAATTTTTTATCTGACAAATAACTATATTATTAATCCTCGGAGCACACACCTCCAGATAATAAAACTTTAGAGTGTACACTAGATCAAGCTTTGATCCTAGCTAGGTTATAAAAAGGTATGGTAATTGTCCGGAAACGGAAACCATTCTATTTTTGCTAATAAACAATCGTAAAATAAACGTTTTCAAATATTAATTTCTTCTTCAAATTATCCGATTTTTTACGGCTCATTCAAAATGAAAATCATAAAAATATTAAAAAGTAAATTTTTCAATTAGTTTTAAAGCTATTAATGTTAAGAACCAAAGAAAATACTTACCAAATATTGTTGATAGAATTTACTCAAACAAATATGATGGTTTTAAATATATTTTTCTGAAAACAAACAATTTAAAGAAAAAAAAAAAACAAAGTGAAGAAAAAACAACGAAATTTTAAAATTTCAATTTTTCGAATTTGTATTATTTTAATAAACGTTTCAGGTTTAAATATTGACATTTTAACCTTTTTCGTATTCAATCAATTATTTTATTTTTGATAAAATTTTGAAAAAATTAATCTTTTAATTTTAGGGTCAATAAGAAGTGTTTTCTACCTAGACAATTACCAAAATTAAATCTCGAAAAAAATGTACTTTTTTAAAAACTTGAGTTCGAATTTTTGATTGTAAGAAGTATACTTCTTCATATATGTAAGAAATAATTTACTTTTACGATTACAAGTATCATTGATTCGAATTAGTTAGTTTCCACGGGAAACTAGAACTAGAACATTGATTGCTCCTATTTTCTAAAATGCATTTTGAAAAAAAAATGCTGTCCTGAAAAATGACCAAAAAAAAAGTTTAAATATAATTAATTAAAAAAGTTAAATATTTTTCTTCAGACAAAACTTTGGGCCTCATACAACCCTCACTCAACTTCGAGGATTAACAAGCTTCAAAAAGTTGTATTCGTTTAAGTATACTAAATTTATATCAAAACTTCAATTGAATTATAATTATAAAGTTTTATTTTATGAACATCAATCACTCGTTAAATTTCTTTTCCTTTATTTTTGTCGAACAATAGTTTTTTTATTTACTTTAGACTCGATTTATACCATAAAAACGTAAGAAAAATAACCACAGTAAAAATTTTATTCAGACCCTTTATAGCTTATAAAAATAAAAATTTGTAACATGAAAAACGATGAGAAGTACTATTGCAAAGCATTTTTTTTGTTAATATAGTCATATATGATTAGAAAAATATACAAGAAGCATTGAATGATGAGTTTCCTGATTTATTATATTCTCAATAACTTATTAAGTAGTTACACAGGTTTTTTTTTTGTAATCGTTTGACTGATAATTTAGGTTTATTCTTTAATGTATGTGAAAAGTGTATATCATCACTGTTCTAATTTCCGAATTCGATCTGCCAGATTGCGGAAGTAAAACTATACTAAAAAAATGATATATTATCATAGAAAATATAAAAGTATGGTCAAATATACAAATTGAAACTCGTAGATTCTATGAAAATCTATCGGTATATTTATCATTATACTAGCTATTACTCGCCCGCTCCGCTGAGCGCTTTATAGAATTGCATTTTTAGATCTAAACTTGAAATTTAATTAGAGTATTGTTTTGACTTGCACAGATTCCTAATTCTATCGAATTGGCATACGCCTTTTATCCATGTAATTATTCTAGCTAATATTCATTGTAACTTTCAATGTGCAATCATTATAACATTCCCGTGTCTTTCTTACAAAAATGAATAATAATTGATATGAAAAAAAAAATTTGTAATGAGCATTGAAAGTTTCAGTTAAAGAAATTACAGGTCTCATAAGTGAAGAAATCTGCCTAGTATATAAACATAACCAATAGAATTAAAAAATTTATTTTAAACAAATGACAATCGATTAGAATAAATTTAGTTACAATAAAAATTCATTATTTCTAAGTAAAAAAATATAGGTTCTGGATAAGTAATCACCACCATATCACATACTAAAACCATCTCCGAAACACGCTGCATCTTATGGTATAAGTATTATTCCGATCGGTTCAGTAGTTTTCACAGTATAACCGGACAAAAAAGCCGGCTCTTCATTTATTAGTATAGATTTGAACATTGCAAGTGATATTCAGGTATTTTCGTTTATAAATGATGTAGCTTAATAGTGTTGAATGCAAAAAATAATTGATTTAGAAAAATTGAGCAACATATAAAACTAAATAGTAATTTTAAACATTTTGTTGGAAATTTTTGGTGATCTCTCGTGATAGTCGGGTTTGTGGATTTCAAAATTTTAAATTTACTTAGCATACGTTCAGCTCATAAAGATAATTAAAATCAAATTCCAATATGGCTTCAGAACATAAAAATTTTGTTTCAACTCGACTTTCCAAACTTGCAATAAAAGCGATAATTTTCCGACTTTGAAAAATTAAGTTTTTCATAATAGAATACAAAAAATACTAGGAATTCCAATTGCGCGAGCTCTACTCCGGTTCCAATAAAGAATTAGGGGCCACTTTTTTGATTAGTAACGATATAATTTTGATACTAAACTAACTTTATTTTAATCATTAATTTTATAATATAGGAAAAGATAAAAAATAGTTACATTAGAAGAGACTCGAAAATGGTTCTTAAAGTAAAAAAGTCTACTTTTTACTTTTTACTACTCGAAGAGCTCAAAAGCATAGAACAGCTAACTCTTTGAGCTCGGAGAGCTCAAAAACGTCGTAAGTGCAATTTTAAGCGCTTAGGTATAAAATTAGCGGAAAGTTGCAGGGATGGCCTTCAGTATCAACCGTTTTTCTAATTTTTTTTTAAAATGTGAACAATATCGGAATTTTATAAATTTACTCATAATGGTAAATTATATGTAAAACTAATTATTTTATTTATTTTTTTTTTTTTTTTTTCCAGATAAATAGTAAATATAGTGAGGAGTTAGCGCAAGAATCTCTTGAATGGATTCGAGATATTACAAAGGAGGATATTAAAACGAGTGGTGACATGGATAATTTTTATGAAATCCTTAAGGATGGAACTCTTCTCTGCAGGTATATATACTATATAAATTGAACTTTTTTATTTTTAATTAATGCTAAAGAAAATATTTTATGAACTGCTCTTAATTTTTAAGAAATTTAAAAACTGATTGAAAAATAACAGAAACATGTAACGGAATAATTATAAAATTTGAAGTTTTTCACTGGTGAATTTATTATTCATATTAGCTAAATTTGTTATCAAAGACAAATTTGGGAACTGGGGAAAGAAAGGACAAAGGGAAAGAGGGACTTTACTCAGTGGGAATTTTTCGGTAACCGAATAAATGATTCGGATAGCCCAGACCGGGACTCGAACCCAGACTATTTGGTTACGCGCCAAAAGCTCTACCGGTTAAGGAAGTTCGAGCGAATCTAATGTAAAAAATAATTTCCAACTTTGAGCTTTGAAATTAAGTATACGTATAAATAAATATATATGTCATTTATCTAATCCCAAAATTTAAAAAAGATTCACCGTTTAGTTACTTAGATATTAAATTTAAAAAATCACATATTTTATCTCCTTATATAACGTTTTGTCGAGACTTTAATTATTTATTTCAATATTAACCTCCCAACTTTAACGGATAAAAAACTATACACATGAAACTTGGATTATTGCAAAATATAAAAACAATTTAATAATAATACATTACCGATATAATTTTTGAAATATTTAAAGTTAAATTTTATGTTTGTAACTCGTTTATCGTCAGCAATTTATTCGAATAAAGATTTGACAACATCGCGTTAGCAGCTGAGAAAAAAGAAAAGGATAGAAATATAGTTACAGAGAGAGAAATGTTATGGGTATAATCAAGCGCGCTATTGCCAAATCTGTTTATTTATTCCGGCAAGTAATAAATACCAAAGTCATTTTATTACTTTACTTTATTAAATAAGTAAAAATCATCAATTATTAAATTGTTTAAATTATTTTAAATTAAAATATAGAATTTTAACGAATATTGGGAAGACTAAAATTAAAAAAAAATTTTAACATTATTTTGACTCATTAGTTACGCTGAAACTTCCTTTTAAGCTATCCAAGACTCTGTCCGCAACTATACAATTCAGTCACCTACTAATAACTACGACAATTACTTATCGCAGAATTTATTTGATTAAACAAAAATTTTAATAAATTCGATTAACGATAAATAATGATTTTCTGAATAAGAAATTCACAAAGTTTTTAAAGCAACATTTTCAATATTAATTTAAATCAAGATTTTTTTTAATATCCTTAATCGGCATAATTTTTTTTTTTTTTTTTTTTTTTAATAAAATGGTCTTTCGTTCAGCTTATACAAGCTATAATGAGATTGTTGAGTTGATGAAAAAAGATTGTCTATTCAGTATTAATTAACTTAAAAAAATTTAATTCTGGGCTTTTTTCTCAAAATATTTTAGAACGGAACATTGTTTGTTTTTGCATTATAATTGTACACAAGTTAATAAAGTGAATGACAATCACAAAAAGATGAAGAAAGTTTCTTCAGTGTATTTTAAATTTATTAATCTCTATATTTGAGTTTTTAAAATTAAAATTATTGTATCAGACTGTAATATCACTTATGCAAGTACTATCTTATAAAGATAATTAACAACCAGGAATCTATTAGAATGATAGTTTAAAAAGAAACTTATTATAATTACTATAATTTGACCAATTGAATAGATTAATCAACGAAATCCAGCCAGGTTCAATAAAAAAAATTAATGACTCGAAAATGGCTTTTAAATGTATGGAGAACATTAATGCTTTTTTGGAAGCAGCGAAAAATCTTGGTGTTCCAGCTCAAGAAACATTCCAAACTGTTGATCTTTGGGAACGACAAAATCTTAACTCTGTCGTCATTTGCTTACAGTCACTTGGAAGAAAGGTATATTTTTATTAATTTATATTTTTATTTTGATATACTTGAAACAAGTAATTATTATCAAATTAATTCATGCATCTGCTATATCATTTAGCTTTATAGAAATTCCCAATTTGATTGACGGCAGCTTTAATTAAAAATGCACTATATGTTTTTATTTTTTGGAACGCAAAGACTGAGTGGAAATAACGTAGATTGATGTAGGCACATAATTTAATTCACTAAGTATTATACATATTTTTTTATTCAGGCTGGAAATTATGGTAAACCATGCATTGGACCAAAAGAGGCTGATAAGAATGTCCGTAACTTTTCCGAAGAGCAATTACGAGCTGGACAAGGAGTTATAAGCTTACAATATGGTAGCAACAAAGGAGCAACTCAAAGTGGTATTAACTTTGGAAATACCCGGCATATGTAGATTTGGTTTTTTTTAAATATCAAATCTAATTTTTTTATTCATTTTTTTTTTTATTAGATTTTATGAATTTATTAAATGTGTCAGTTATAAAATAACAAAATAATTTTGTACAATTTACAAAAAGTATGCTACATTGCATAATACTGATTTATAATTTATAAAGTAATTTTTCAATGGTTAATTTTTTCAACTAATCTTTCGTCACTAATGTAATAAGCGCGGTGTCACCTTTTTTCACTATTATTTTTTTTCCTATTTCTCAACTTGAAGTCAATAAATAAACTTGCTTTAAAAAAAATGAAACATTATCTATTCCCGTTAGAGTCAGTATTATATTTATTATTAAATGTTCAAAAATACAATTCTATCAACAAAGATATATAACTAGCAAAAAATAATTCAGTAATTTGCATTTAAACACAGTAGTAATGACGTTTACCACGCAAATTTTGAAGTCGTAAAATTATGCTATGATGAAGGGTTAAAAGATAAAAATTATGTAATTATTAAAATTTATACTGTTGATAATTAAAAATATATAAAACTCATTCAGAGTCAATAAAATTGACCGGGCCAAATAAGTCTATTTTTGTACTTAAAAAATAATTGATTCTCGAAAATTTTTTCTTCCATAGCCAAACTATATGACTTTCAAGTCATACTTTATTCTAGAGATGCTAATAATTTGTGAAGCGTTTAAATGTCACTTCTTAGCATAAAATAAAACAACAGAGAACAATAAAGAAAGTAAGGCACAACTATTTGAAAATTAAAATTTAAAAGAGTTTATATTGAAAGATTTTTTTCAAAATAGCGTTATAAGTGAATAAAAACATTCCTAAAAGATTTTGTAATTTGATTAATATACTATATAATGAAATAAAACTATTATGAAAATATCCATTAATTGTATTGATTTTTTTTTTTCGATTTTAAATATAAAGCATAATAATAAAATATCTATTACCTTTTCGTTTTTCATATAATTTTAGAATATAAAACTCATTGATGATATGAAAACATTATTACAACATAATAGAAATAATTAAAATATAAATTATTAGCAGTTACTTGGGTAAATGATAATTTCGTGATGATCGAATCTCGAAATTATTTTCAAAACCTGTCATTTTTATTTTAATTTCTGACTTGAAACTAAAGCCCAGAGTATATTTATCTTTGATGTGCTGATAACAGAACCCTGGAGATAAGTTGATTCTTATCAACTCTCTTTTTAAACATGCATCAACAGTCAAACCTCTCAAAAGTAACACTCTTTGCTCATATATGCATATCAAAATTAATATTCAATTCTGCCAGACACTTCCGGTCGGCGGCAACTTCCGCCAGACGCTTTAAAGCTTCTCATTAAATAACGGAATTTTACTTAGTCTAAGTCTAAGTCACAATTTTTAGATAGAACGCTCATATAACTATTTCAACACTTTTTGTTAGCAGCAAAACCAATTTAACGAATTAAATGTCCCCCAGACATATTAAAAATTCAGAATACTTTAAAATAACAGAAAATCTTATTAATTTAAACTTTAGAGCATATAAATTTCTACAAATAGTGATTCAGGCAATTTTTAATTCTTCTGTTTGTTTAAATCGTATAGCCTGCTAAAGCGCTACCAAAAACAAAAGGTGTAGAATCTTATTTTATTTATCTAGAATACTTGAAAAAATTGTTTTTTCTGCCCTCCGGCCGGAAAGTGGCAACTTTCTGGCCGCTGCGCTAAACAAAGTTGCCACATTCCGGCTACGTCGAGCAGAAAAATAGTATACACACCTTGGCCAGTAAAACCAGTAAAAAGTAAAGCCTCAGATCACATGTTTGTCAACCTCGGCTTCGCCTCGGCCAACAATTACATGTGATCTGAGACTTTTCTTATTTTACTGGCCTAGGTATGTAATATACTATTTATTGAAGAATATAATCGATAAAATTCATGAACTATCTATTTCTATTTGCTATTTTCGGAGATTTTTGAGCATAAAAAGTTTACCAACACTTGATGATTAACTTGTAATTGTGATGAACCAATTTATTGGAAAAAAATAAAAGGAAAAAAATCAATCGTTTATAACTTCTGACCTTATTTTGACTAAAATCTGTCTTAGAGTTTATTATTCTTAGGAGTATAATGGTTATACTAAAAACTCAACCCTTTAATCATCTCTAGAAAAAATAATATCTATTGTTTCTAATTTTTTAACTGCAATTTAATGATGTTTTTGAGAAAATTGATTAGACATTGAAATTAATCAATATGGAAGTTCGAAAGTGATTTCAAAGAAAATTTTTTTCAATTCTAATTAGAACTACTTTACAAAAAAAAAATAAATTTCCACAATAATGCTCTAATTAGTTATACTTGTGACTGTTATGGAAAAAAAGGTAGTTCCAGTCTTCCATGATTGAGAATAAAATTTTCTTAAAAATCTTAAATTGATAAATCGTTAATTGGACTTACGTAATTTAGAGCTCTAGCTTTTTAATATTCATTCAATTACCATCTAAATAATTTTTTTTTTGTAAGAATTTAATAAAAATCAAATTTTTTTGAGTGAGTCATTCTGACAAAATTTTTCTGTAGAAACTCACAACTCATTGTTTGTGATATTTAATTTCAAATTGGAAAATGAACTTTTAAAACACCAGCACAATTTTGAAAATAGTCCATTTAAATTTTAAAAGAATTTTCTTCCTAACTCAAAATAACTTTTGATATTATGAAACCGAGAAAAATAATAATATTTTTAGAAATAGCTCAATACAATTATAAACCTTTTAACTGAAAGTATTTTTGAAACTTCAGCTGAAAATTACACCATTCGAAAAAACTTTTCTGAACAAATACATATAATAGTAGGATTTCTTAAAACTTCAAATAATAAATTGATTGAAGCATTATTTAAGTTTATAAATTCAATAACTTTTCATTTTGAATCGTCGGTCACATTAGAAGTAAAACAATTGTATCGTCTGTAATTAAATTTATGAAAACGAATATAATACTGTAGGTGTTGCATAAATTCAATAAGAAAGAATTTGCGAAAAAAAGTTTTATTTTCAATAGGTACTTACTTATTTGCTAACATCTTCAACATTAATTTTTAAATTCAATTTTTACAATTATTACTTATCTTTGGAATGGATTATAATCCAATCCAGAATTGTATTTAAACTCAATTGTGTATCCTGTTTTAGATTTTGCTGCAATATCCATTAATTTTTGGACTTCGGGTCTGGAAAATGAAAATCAAAGGTTATAGCAATTAGAAGAAAAAAAAATATTTATACTATAATTCATTCTAGAAATAAAACATTTCAATCGCGATAAGCACAGACATGTAAATTATTTATTATGATTATGACTCAAGTGAATTATGTGAGTTTATGAAAAATTGAAAGTACACATTTTTTTTTAGAAGTGAAAATTCTCATTCTGTTTCAGGAAGTTTAACCGTGAATTATTTTTTGTAAGAGAGAATATTATTTGATATATTAATTTAATCAAAATAAAAACGTTACATATTCAGAAAAAATTTTTTTCAATCTAGATATAAATATCTAAATATCTAAATATCTGTATGAAAAATAAATTCAGAAGAATTTTTGTTTTGTGCAACTTTTTATCGTTAAAATTTTAAAATAGATTTTGTTGTCTTAACTTTTGTGAGAGAAATTAGCAAAACCTACCTCTCGAGACTCAAACAAGCGTAAGTAATTTTTTCAAAGTATTAAACTCAGAAAAAATAATTTTATAAATTCTTAAAGATATTTTTAACAATTGAAAAATACAAAATCAGTCAATAAATTAAAAATATAAAATAATAAATGATAATTATTACCTGTATGGAGGAGGTAACATTTCCTCGTGCCACGTACATTGTGGTTGTTCTTTATCATCAGGTTTTTTGTAAATCCTGCTTCTAATGATATCGATGTCACGACCATATTCCTCTAATAAATCATCAATTTTTCGAGGAGGAACATCAAAGTGAATAACGTAGTAGTTAGCCTCTCGATGAACCATATTATGATTACTCATTTTATAAGGTGTTGGTTTTTGGCCAAGATTATCAATTTTACGTATGATACCTTTTTTACTAAAAATTGCAGTTGATACTCTCTTCAATGTATTAAAAGTCTCAGGCTATAAAAAATTAAATTAAGAAAATTAATTACAAATAAATTATTTTACTTCTAAAAATATGTAATTTTATTTAACATTAAGTAAATAAAAAATAAATGTTGATAGAATACCTTGCTCATTATACGGAGTAGTAAAGGCATTTCGTAAGTCGGCATTGTTAAGGCTGTACTAATTATCTTTCAACTTCAACATAAATAAAAGCAATTTTTTTAACTATGTTAATTCCGGTTTTATTATTTATTTATAAAAAAAAAAAAAATCATCACTAAATACTCGTGCTTGAAGTTCAAAACTGTTTTCATTGATAATTATTGGTTAAACTCACGGATTTTCTTGATTCCGGATTCTTTACATTTTGTCTCGGTTACCGGTGCTTACATTTTTCGTATGTTGAAAAATTGGTCCCGAAAGTCCAGAATGTAATTATACTGCCATCTTATGAACATAAAAACGCGTAGTAAATTTAAATATTATCCACAGATTGAATTTTTTCTTTGAAACGAGAATAATTTTTTTTTTTTTTTTTTTATATATAAGCATATTTATACCTATAAAATTTGTATTTAATATAATTTTTTAATAGCTAGGTGTTTACTATTTTATAATAATAAAAAAGTTGAGTAAAAATTTATAATACTAAATTCAACAGACATTTGATAATCTTATTGATTTTCATTAAAAATTAATTACCTATAAAAAAAATATTCTTGAAAAATTTGCACTTGTAATTTTTTTAAATTTCTAAATAAATGTGGAATTTTTTTATTACAATTTTTTCATAATAATTTAGTTGTTATAAAAATCCAAAAAATTGACATATGTCTTTTAATTTCAATATCATTAAAAAATTCACATGTGGATATTTAAAAAATTATGAATACAATCTTTGAAGGTATATTATTTTTAAAAATTTAATTCGTATGTTAAATTTAAATTTCCTACTGTATATCTCTCATGCAGATTCTCAGATTTTAACGGTAAATTGACTTAAAATATGACGCCAACTGAGTACTTGACAGTAATTTTCTCTAACAATTGATTACCACATTATAGCTGTCAACCTAACCAAATTACGATTGTGATCAGCATGTTTTTTGTTTTGACGTGTCCATAGATTGAAAATGTGTTGTTAAATATTTATTTTTAAATAGTTTATAATATTTTCTTAATAAACAAAAACGTCTCACTATGGTAAGATTAATTTTCGATTTAATCAAAATTTTCATTACTAAGAACGTAAACAGCAATGTATGAATCGTTGAACTAGTTATTATTTGTGGTAAATTAAAAAATTTCATTTAATATTTGTCTGTTAACTTAGAAACCAAATTATAATTTTAAGAAATGGTTCAATTTTACGATATTGAAATTATTGGACTACTAATCATGTTTTCATTTAATTCAAAAAATGGATTATAAATAAAAAAATTGCTTTCACAGTTTTTAACAATTTTCACTTGCAAAGTATTTATCTAAATTTTGCTATTGTTTTCTTAATAAATTTAATGACATTTAAATTACCAGCCATTTCACAATTTTTTTAGTTTTCTTGTAAAGTAAACGAGTTTTTGACAAATATTTTCGAAAAATTGCATTTTTAATTTTTAAAAGGATTTAAAGATGAAATTTTTTAAATAAGTTTTTCTTGTGAAAATTTATTTAAAAAAAAATTCTAAAAACTATATTAGATGTCTCTCAATTTCAATAGCATTAAATTGATTGGATTAGAATGAGATTTGAAATCAAAATCATCACTAAAGTTAATTGTTTTAAAAAAGTTTCTGTTAGTAAATATCACTTAGCTTTCATTCATTTATATTAAAAACAAAATGATTTTATTAATTATAAAACTAAATGTAAAAATTAATTTTTTTTTAAATCTTTTACATAATTTTATCAAATCAGAATTAGCATACATTTCAAAATATTTAGGTGTTTCTTAATAGATAAATTATTGAAAAAATCTATTCCTTTGCAAAATTTACCTTAGAACTTTTTTTTTTTAATTTTTAAGAGTGCAAGTTATTAATTTTTCAAATAATTTATCTTTCGAAAAAATCTCCAGAAACTTTTCCTATGTCTTCAGATTTCAGTATCATTTAACGCATGATTGTATTTTATGGATTTATTTTCATAAGTCAATATCACTTTATTTATTCCTCACACATTGAAAGTATAAAAAGTAATAATTTATTTATTTTTCAGTCGGCACTCTTTAATTTTCAAAGCCTCATGACAGTAATTTTATTGTTAATCTGTACATGTGCTTATGTGCGGTCAATAGTGCCTCGTATAATAGATGGAAAAAAAGTTGGGTATGTATAGCTTTTTTTTCGGATATTTTTCTTTTATATATTTTAAAATATACACTGATAGAAAAACAATCTTGATTCAAGAAACTTTTTTTCTTCAAAACTTGAACTCTTGAAACTAGATATAGATATATTTCTTTCAAGAATTTTTGTCTCTTGGTTCAAGATAGGCGATAACATTGGTTCAAGATGTTACCGACTTGTGTTAAGAATGGCTTTTTTTTGAGTCATTAATTATAATTTACTTATTTCTAAGTTGGTATAACAATTAAAGAATATTTAGTTTTTGAATTATACTTTGATGAATTATTTTAAGTTTTTTAAACGATATTGTTATTTTGATTGAAAAACTTAAATGCATCGATTAAAGATAATATAGCTCTTAAGCCAAGAAAATCTAAATCAAAACAAGAAATTCTTAGAGCAAGATAATCATTTTTCTTCCAAAATAAATTCTTAGATCAAGAAAATATCTCTTGAGTCAACATAAATTTTCTATCAGTGTATCTGCATGTTTCTATATTTTAATAATCAATTATTGATTTTACAGAGTCGGGGGAATATTTTGGAAATGTGCAAGAATTGGTGAAAGAAAAAGTCCGTACATAGCGGCTGGTTGTTTATTCATGGCATTTAGCATATTGTTTTCTTCTTAAAAAATAAGTAATGGTTTCATTTTTTATTGTCCATCTATTTTGTATATTTCTCACCATTAAACTAATTAATAAATATACTTTATGAAATAAACCAATTAAATTAAGATTTTACTTTTTGTGGATAATATTTTTTAGCGTATATATAAATCAGAATAAAAGTTTCAATAATTGATATGTAAATAATAAATATCAAAGGTAACGTTTAACGATTTCTGGATCAAATTTAAAGTTTTCTTAAAATGGAAAGAGTTTATGTAATTGATCTTAAAATTATCGCAAATGAACTACAGTTAGATAACTGTATATATATCTAAATAAATTGAACTATTATACAATAAATTTTACTCGTGAAAGTCGAAGTCTAAATCAGAGTTTAATTTTTTAGTTTTAGGTGATGTATTTCACTATTTTGATTTTGATTAATATCATAAGAATATTATAATTTGCAAGCAATTTTTACATGTTTGTTGACTCATAAAAATCATATGTAGAATTATTTAAAATTCTGTAATGGCGGCGATAACAAGAGAAAAAAAAATTGAAACAGTCAAATTTCTTAAAATATAAATAAGAAAATCTGCTCTCGAAATCTGCTAAATTAGAACATAAAAAAATTTTTACAAAAGTTAGTCAAACTTATCCAACTTTGGTGTTTCTACCTTTCCAAACATAGAGAAAAAAAGTTTGGAAAATCCAAAAGTGCACGCCTCATAATCTCATTTTTCACAATAAAATTGATTAAAATAAAATATAAAAAGCAAAATAATAAAAAACAGAAAACTCTGCTATGGTTTAGTGGCGCCATAACTCTAAGGTGAGGAAAAAAAATACTATAATAAAATGTGTAGATAGATATATAAAAAAATCCACAGTCATATATTAGTTTTTTATAAATAATAATTTAACGACAGTGAATTGAACGCTCATATTAATTAGGAAAATCCTTCGTGTGTTACTTTAGATAATAAAAAAAAAATTGTTCCGGTACGATCATTTTTTCGACCAATTTCCCTGCCACATACACCCACCCATACACGGACGTCCAGAAAAAATTATGTTAAATGTTATTATTTACTATGTTAAACAAAAAAATTGTTATTGAAATATATTTTATGTGCCTGACAAATTATTCGACTTGATATAAGTGTACTCATATTAACCTGTAAGTGCGATATAAATAACAAAAAATCAATTTCAGTTTCGAGAAAACTGCTTTTTTTGAAATGTCGAGAGTAGAGCACAACCTCAACGCTTCGCTTATGAGGCGTGCAATTTTTAAGATTTTGGAAGTTCGCAAACCGCACCAGTTACAATCAATTAACTAGAATTAATAAAAATGAGTATTTTTTATTTTTTATTTCTCACTTGCCAAAGATTTGATTGATTATTAAGAAACCAGGATTTTGTTAAACATTATCGGTACAACTATAGAGTTTTTCTATATGATTTTTTGTCAGACATGTCAAATAAAAATAGTTTGAATGAGTAACTTGAGTAAATTATAAAGATTTATCATCAAAGTTAAGTATTCAATTGAAAGAATTATATTTCGGTTTTTAAAATCTTTTTCGCTTCTTAGGAATTTATTTTTTTTATTAATTAAAAACAAAATTTAAAAAAAATGTATCTAATACAGACAGAACCTAAATAGTTATATATTTATATAGATTTGAAATTTATTTTTTATAAAAATTAATCAATAAATTCTATTAATAATGAATAAAAATTTGGATTACACTTAACATTAAATGTGTAAAGAAAAAAAAAAACAATTGACAATCGAAGATATTGTTTTTTGTAATCTTGAAAAAATTTCCACTAATTCATTACTTAGTATGTGGTCTATATATCAAAATTATGATTTAAAATTGATCTTAAATTAGTTTCTCACTTATTATTTTATCATTTAAGTCTCATTATATTCTCTATACGTTATGAAAAATTTCATTCCAAGTGAAAATACATTTAATTATTGTTGTAACGAAATAAACATAAAAAAAAAAACTCTACAGATTTATGTAGTACTATGGATATAGATATAGATATAAATCATGTTAATATTTATTTTTATTATTGTTTATTTTAAATTCAAACTGACCCTGAACTGATTATGGTATCTTAGTAACTGCCAATGCTAAGTAACAGAAAATCAATGCTAACGTCAAGTGAGTTTTCATTTTTTGTTATTGTGATGTTTACTTACGTATACGGATCCAAGTATAATAGAATATAATAACATTCTTAACAATTATTATTTAAATATCTTTTCACTAAAAAGTGAATTATATAACATTTCTGTTCACCCATTGAATACACAGCGCAAAATTTATGTCAATTTCAAAACCAACAACGTGCAAAGATGCGACTCGTCGTTGGGAAGAAGAGAATAAATGTGATGCTGCATCAGCGTTAGAAGTGGATTTGAGTTTTCAATGGCCCCCTGTAGAAAAAATGGATAATTCTCTTTCACTATTTTCAAAATGTCGAAAATTATCACTCTCTACTAATATGATTGAAAAAATAGTTGGAATAAGTTCTCTTAAAAATTTAAAAATATTATCGCTGGGACGAAATGTTATAAAAGGATTTACCGGCCTTGAAGCACTTGCTGATACCCTCGAAGAATTATGGATTTCTTATAATTCTATCGAAAAAATGAAAGGTATAGCAACTATGAAGAATTTGAAAGTACTTTACATGTCAAATAACTTAGTTAAAGAATGGATTGAGTTTATGCGTCTTCAAGAAATGATGAATCTACGTGAATTATTGTTTGTTGGAAATCCGTTGTGTGAAGGTATCGAGGTAATGAAATTTAAAAATATACCAATCAGATGAATAATAATGATAATAATAATACAGATCGACAAAAAAATATTTTGCATAATGAAACAGATAATTTTACTTTTGATTTGAAATATTACACTGATTTCTACAAGAGTAAAATTCAAACAAGAAAAAACTATTTTTATTTTATTGCGTAGAAAAGACCAAAATTCGAGACTTAGAACTAGTCAAGCCTAAAATTCGTGTCGAACACAATGCTATTGATAATTTATTAAATTAGCAGTAGCTTTTTTTACTTTATATATTTTTAATAATTACTATAATATTTATGATTTTACACTTAATTTAATTACAATATAGTTTTCGCACAAATGTCTTTCAAAATATGGGAGTCTATGCTTATCCTTTAGAAATTTAGGGAGTTTACTAAACAAATTAAATCTTTTATAAATCAAACATTTCTCAATTAGAAATAAAATTTTCTTTATTGCCGTAAGATGAGCGGCGGAGTTCTCGGTTCACCTGACTCTTCCCCTACCCCACAGCTCATGTTTACCCCCGCTTAGGAGCGGGTAAGTGATTGGTATGAGATTAAATTTGATATTCATTTAATCTTCACCTGAAAAGTAGTTTTCGCAAAATCCGTCATCCCTAGCGGTTTCGACGACTCAGCGTAAACTCGGAGTTTACGCGGAGTTACTATAGGTCTAATCATTTTTTCCCGGGTCGAGTTTATTCCGTATAAACGACGTAAAATTTGAGTTTACGCAGGGTCGTCGAAACCGCTAGGGAAGTTAATATCAAAATTAAAGTGACTCAAAGTTTATATATTATTTTTTATTTTTACTGGAATTCTTATATATTCTTATATATTTTCAGATGGATCTTTGGAGAATTGATGTTGCCAAGCGATTGCCAAGTTTAGAGAAGTTAGATGGTGAACCGTTAATCAGAACGGAAGATAGTTCTGTACAGCCAGCACAGGTGTTAGGAAAAGTAGAAACTTCAACTGTTGTAGAGAAGGAATAAATAAGGTTTTATCCAGAAAACAACGATGATTGTTGCTTGATTTTTCTTGCAGTTATGTTAAAAAATAACTCTTAAACTACTACACCGATAAATTGTAAAATCTAATCAGTCTATTTACTCCACAAAAAAACGTCAACTGAATTAAAACTTCATAACCCGGGAAAAAATGATCAGATCTGATGAGACATGAACAGGCATAAGTCTTCAGGCCTGATCAGACATGAAAAATGACCAAGCCTGATTAGGCATGAATTGACCTGATCAGACATGGTCAGGTCTGAAAGGCCATTGTTATTTTTAATTAATTATTATGCTTAATTTTATGGACGTAGTACTTGATAGAGTCATACGCAATTCTCTACAATGAATTAAAATAAAAAAAAGAAAATGATTACATATAATTGTACGGCTGTAATAGCAGCAGTCACCCATCCAACTACTAATCACGCTCAATGCTGTTTAACTTTGGTGATATCCGTGCACCTTGAAGTTCCCGCCTGCTGTGATGCTATCTTATGTGACAACAATTCTATGAAGTGCATAACGTATCGAATAAGTTTATCATAAATATAATATAAAAATTGGATTTATAATATATTTTGATAGTCCTAATTTATTTATTTAACCGAATCTCATTATAAAACATCACATTTATTTAAATAATAAAATAAGTAATGATTTTAATATTAGGGAGGAGCAGAGCAGACCAAAACATCCCATAGGAAATGTAACAAATTTTTTATTTTAAAATTATTTAAACGTAATGATAAAAATAATTTTGCACATTTTGTAATGACCAAAAAAATTTTTTTCGTTAAAGAAAAAATTTTTATCACATCTCTGACTATGCAAGTCTGATCAGATCTATTGTTAAGCGTTAAATACGCTCAGGCCCGATCATACCTGTCCATGCCTATTCATGCTAAGGACCAAATATGTTAAGAAAAGTTTTTGAATATATATGTTCAGTGTATGTACACTAATTTCGATTAATAAATTTGTAAATTATCAATAAATGGTATATTTTATTATTCAATAAATAAAAGGATTTTGATTATTATTAAAAACCTACCGTAGGGTAAATTTAATTAACTTTTCTAGGCATGAACAGGCATGATCAAACCTGAGCGTAATTACCCCTTCAGACATGAACAGGCCTGATCAGACCTGAGCGTATTTGACGCTTCAGGCATAAGCAGGCATGAACAAGCATGGACAGGCTTGATCAGGTCTAATTTCAGGCCTGATCACACATGAACAGGCATGGTTAGGTCCGATCATTTTTTCCCGGGAAGTTAAACTTAGTTCGGCTAATTTTCGAGTTATGTTCTCTTGAAAATAGTAGGAAGTTCCAGAGATGGCCTGCGGGGATCAACCGTTTTTCTAATTTTTATTTATTATAAACTAAAATATTAAATATTAATTATCAATCGAAGAATTGAAAGTATTGGAAAATTTAAAAACTATTTTCACTCCATTTGAGTACTATTATGTATGTCTTTAATAAGGTACTTATATTTCAGGTAAAAAAAAAGTTTGGAAAATCCAAAAGTGCACGCCTCATAATCTCATTTTTCACAATAAAATTGATTAAAATAAAATATAAAAAGCAAAATAATAAAAAA